TTTTTTTTTTTTTGCAGCTAACCTTAACTCAAACCTTAATGAAATTAATACTAGGATCTTTGGTAGAGGTGTGCTTTTTAAAATTTCACTTCTGATGTACCGGTACTTCTGGCATTTATAGCTTTGTTGAACAAAATGAAAAAGCAAGCCACAGTTCAGAATATGGCTCCCAGAGTGATTGTATTTCCTATCTCAGCTTTCCGTTAAATCCTGGATAGAATTTAAATAAATTCAAAATAGATGCATACTAAAAGCCAATTACATATACTAAGTTATCACACTAGTATATTTATATGAATTCCAACAACAGAAAACATTATAAAAACATTTTATGAAAACAAAACACAACTTCACGTACAGGTTTACTTTTTGTACATAAATCTGCTTTAGTTCTGTCAATGTGTTTGTTTACATAAACGTTTTGAACTTTTCTACTGACTGTCTCACCTTTAATACTGAGTCCATCAGTGCCATTTCATGACATTGATTGTGAGATTTTGCACATCAATAATGACAGAGAAAAACTTGTCATTGTCATTCTCAAAAATAAAAGTTACAGTTTCGGCTCGAGAGCAGTCAAACTAATCTCCCTACCAATTCTGCATGGCCTGAAGGGTTTTATTTTTTTCTCTGTTGTCCATATCAAGTACTCTACCTTTAAAAGTCATTTAGGGCAGTGGTGGAAAATGTACTGAGGAACGGTTGCTACTTAGGCAAAAATAAACAAATAAACACCCTAGTAAAAGTACCACACTGACATTTGTTCCTAAGTAAAAGTAACAAAGTACTTGCTTTTAAATATCTTAAAGGATTGAAAGTTCTTTCTGAATGAACTGCAGTTATGTTTCACAGCAATTATTAAGTGTATCTACATCAATAGTGTTGTTGTTATGAACAATGCTGTGGATAATGCATGTTTTGTTTTTACCTCCTGTCGAAATTCACAATTGGGAATTGGGAATTGGGAACTTGTAATTTTGGAATTTCAGGGATGATCTGCTAAGTGAAATATTAAGAGAAACTAAGATGACTGATTACGCCTTTGTATTAACAAAACATACGCCATCTTTTATTTAATCTGAAGGTACAGTAGCACATTGCACAACATCAAACTCGCTTTCAACTGTCATTTTTAACTCCAGTTTACTTTAACAACACAGTAAAGACAGCTTTGTAAAGGCTGTCAAACTTTCAATGGGGTCCAGTGTCCTGTAACTTTTATCTTTCTATTTCAACAAACACCAATCAAAGAATGTGATCATTAATAGTGCTCTTTTTTCTTGCATCATTCAGAAATGTCAAAGTTGCAGGACACCATACCTCACAGAGTTCCCCTTCTCTGGATCCAGGTTCCTTTCTTTAGGTAGCAGTTGCAGTGAAAGCAATGCATTGTTGGAAATGAATTCTGCTCTTGCTCTGAAAAAGTTAAATTTATTCAATATCTTTCTGTGAACAAACACAGTCTAATTGTCATGATGGGTTTAAGGTTCTTAGCCCACATGCAGAACACAACGGAGGCTGGGTAAAAAGTTTAACAGAGTTTATTGAATGTTGCAACAACACAAGATAATGTACAGGATCTTGAACTGGTCCGGGCTGGTTCACTGAAGTCTGCAGAGATGATAGTTTGATTAGTAAGGCAGGCTGATGAGTTATGAGTCCTTGATAATTCAGAATTCTACCTTGACTGAATCTGGGCTTCTCTTTGAGACAGAGGGAGCCGTTGGGTCCAGAGACTGTTTGTTCAGCAGAGTACACGAGCAGCTGCAGCGTCTAGCTTCTGACTTTGAATGGCAGACCTTGATCAGAGTTTCCAGCTCTTCATTAAGAGCAGCAGGAGAATCCACATAGGAATCTTCAGGTTAGGCTCACCAGGGCAGATTGGCAGGTTAAGCTCATCCAGAGCTTCAGGCTAGAGACAGGTTTCCTGTGAGGCAAAAACAGAAGAGAGTTAGAATCAGATCTCTCTCTAGAGAC